GGCTCAGAAATGCCCAGCAACTGTTCAGAGGTAAAAGGCCATTAGAAAGCGTGCATAAGTGACATAAGGAAAGGAGAAAGAACTCACTTGGGGGGGTCTGTTTTTCCACTAGCAGCTGCGTTTTGCACATTGGTTCAAAAGTGAGAAATAGCCTTTGACTTTTTTCTCTACTTAGAATTACTGGTCTCGGTGAGCAAAATTAGCTAGCAATTTGCTATTTCTATTGCAATTGACTAATACTAGATACATGTTGTTTCTTAATAAAACAAGAGTTGATAGTAACGAAAGACATTGGATCACACTGACTAATTTCAGTCCGCTAAACTGGGACCAGAAGCTATTATTTTGCTAATTCAGTAATGTTTCAAGCTGAGTTGTTCTAAAAGAAAACAGTATTTTTTCTAATCCATTATCAGAGTTTCTCAAACTTCTTTTGTTTGCTGTCAAAAATTAACAAATTGAAAATAAGGGTTTCAATTTGAGAAAATGTTATTGTACCATCTGTACATGCATAATCCATTACTTAGTAACATGTTTTTTCTTTCAAGTCATCATTGTCATCATCAAAACCAATGGTGTACTATGAAAATGAGGGGCCATATTAGCCTGTGTTCTGTAATTTGACTTTCACTTTATAAGTTCAGGGCCAAATAGAGACACTGTTTACTGTCCCACAACTTCACTGTGGGCCACGTGAATGGAACTCACAAAACATTTGAGGGTCTCCATTGCATGCAGTATAGCAATTCTCTTTGGCTAAAGTTAAATACATTATGATGTACAGCTGCGTTTTGCTCTTATTCATGATCCATCCCATATATTGAGAAAAAGTCATATGTGGTGGTTCTTCACATCCTTGATAAGGCCCAAGCTTTACTTCTGAGACATGCCACAAAATCCTGGTAGGTCAGAATGCATGAATATATACTGTATGTAGGTCATATATGGCCTGATGAATATGACTTTAGTAAGTGTGGAATATAGATTCTTATGCACTTTTCAGTAACCTGATTGATTCAAATTAATCATGGGTTGCTTTTTGTATTTTAATGGGTATCTGGAGTCACTTAACTGTTCTATTATCAATTAATGCAAGGACAAGGATTCTTTCTTCTTTTAAACTGGATATAATTTTATTATATTCTCTATAAATGTTGAGCTTTTGGGCCGGTGCCACTATTAGTACAGATTTCTGTGTAGTGCCCTAAAAGGCAAAAACAAAAGAAGTCAAATCAGAAACATAAATAGCTTTTATAATCATCCTCTGTGGTTTCTTTTCTTTTGAATCCATCATCAGAGCCAATTTGCGAAGCATTAAGTAGAAAGGCATTTCTACTTAAAGGTGTTTGAAAATGATGCCTGACTATGATATACAACACTCCCAAGTAATGTACAGAACTAGATTTCTGTTTTAATTTCAAACATTTTATTATAACCTTTCTCAGGCTAGAGAACAGTGGATACTAAAAAAAAAAAGTCTCTCCTTTGGGATCATGCCCAGGAAATTAAAGGTGAAATTCTGTAAGTTAAATGACCCACTGTCATTAGTCAACAAGTTAAGCTGAAATATTTTTTCAACTTAATATTTTTAATGGAATAAGCAGTTCACAGCTAGCTTCCCTGGTACAAGAGAAGTGGTATCATGGAAAAGTGGCAGAGAATACACCCATTTTAAGCAATCATAGCAAGAATCTTCTTTGATAGATAGGAGGATGATATAATTGCTGAAGTTGAGCAGATTTTCTTTTATTTCTTTTATTTCATTTTGGATGAAAAGATTGGAAAGTCAGGTGCAAACCAAAAGCCTAAGCCTGCTTCTGTCATATTTACATAATTTCATATAGAAAAGCATTGAAGTATGAAGTGTAAAACAAATGTGTTGCATTATGAAAAAGAGTGCATTGCTTAAAATGACTTAACACTCAAACTCCTTGCCAGCTATAAAGTTACTTAACATTTTATAAAATACATTTGCCTTGTGACAAGGAAAAAGGAGTATTGATTTGCTGAATGGGTACTTCAAAGGAAGTAGAAGATTCATGACTATCACTAGCCATTTATTTCTTTTATGCAAAATGGTTCAGACAAACTGCATCTTCAATAATCATGATTATTTAAGGACTAGCATGCACTTTTCTATGGGGCATCTTTTCAGGGCATCACAGATGAAAATAGTCCACTCAACTAGTTTGCTGTATACAGTACATACTCTGACTGGATTCCACCGGTTTTCTAATAACATTTCTGCTCAGAGTTTTGGACTTAATAAATTCCCCGTGTTGCTTGATAGTCCAGGCTTGCTAATGGTGGCATGTTAGGGTTAGATAAACAAGCAATAGCTTCAATGTGTGCCATTTACTACCTACAACATCAAGGAATAATTTGCATCTTATCTTACATATTGCACAATCCCTGGATCAGATATTAGTGCATTTGGGATAGCAGGAGATTTCCTGTTCAATACTCAAAATTTCTGCTAAAGTCTCATATACAGAGGTAGAAAAGATTGCTGCCTGAGACTTCAGGGAGCTACTGTTAATAACTGCTTGCATAATCCAATTATCCAATTTATAGAAACAGCCAAGAACTCTAGAGCTTTCATTTTATTAGCAATCCTCTTAGGGAACTCCTCCATCCATCATCATCATCATCATCATCATCATCATCATCATCATCATCATCATCATCTCAGTATTGCTCCACATTCAGAAAAAGAGGGGAAGAAGAAAGGGAGGGAAAGAAAAATACATATTCAATGATAGAAAGAAAATCTGAGAATGTTCATACATAGGATGCCTTCTGGAATTAAGTTAATTAACCCACCACTCATGTGGCAATAAATATAGTGATTTATGTCCTAGCTGGCTACCGTATCCCAGCTGGTGGCTCTCATTTCTTTTTCAATAGTTTATCTGGAATAATGCTGTGTTATAACATATCATGAGTCCACTGAGAGGGAAATGTAACAGCTCACTTGGCCACTAGTCACCTTAGTCACTAATTGCACTTTTAAAAAAGAGAGAGAGAAGAATAAAATACTGGTGCTAAAAGCACACCATGGAATCTAAAACTGGATCTGGCAATGGGGAAGGGATGAGTGAATCATTAAGGGAGGAAGAGGTTCAAAAAAGATTACTCAGTCCCAGGAAAGAAGAAAGCATGAGAAAGAAATTCAAAATAACTCCGCTTTGATTTTGTTTGGTATAAGATGTAGGAGAAAGAAACTCTGACAGGCTTTCAAGATTCTGTACTTTTATCCTACAACAGTAAAAAGTATTTCCCAAACCTCTGAGGCTCCTGTTTCCTGGCCTAGCCTACTTCAAAGGGCTGACAACACATTACCCCAAATTTTAAGGTTTCTCCTATTCCCTTGCCCCAAAGGGACAAGTAGAGTCATTTAACACTCAGTTGCACATGCATATATGACTTCACCTTAATAATTCTCAAAAAATAATAATAATAAGGAAAATGGAATCTAAGGCATCTGGAGGGCACCAGTTTTGGGAAGGTTGATCTAGATTATATCTATTAATAGCCCCAAAACAGTGTTTTGTTGGAGATGTAATTGGACAATGCCTCTTTAAAACATATGTTTTTACAACATCCTATGCTTATTAAGTTTGGTGGGAAAGTAGTGGACTATATAAATATGATTGTGCAACAAAAGTTAGATTTTTCAGAGGATAATATTCTTTTGAACTATATACCTAGTACGTGGAATTTGACATCTGGACAACGTAAATGGATTCTTCGTGCCCTTCGTGCCCCTAAAAGACTGATATTGCAACATTGGAAAGATAAATGTATGGCCCCACTTATTCAATGGGTTGAAGACCTGATTGCACTTGCCACTTATGAGCAGATTGCCTCTAGACATAGATTTTGTATGGAAAGTATAATGAAATATGGGACTCATTTATACAAAATACTGTAGGTTAAAAAAAACATGATAATCATATAAATCTATTAGAAATATATATGTACTTGAATAATATTTGTATTAGATTAGCATATATAGAATTGAAATTTTTTATTGTTATAATGATATATTAACACTTTTTTCTTTGTTATTTTTTCCACTTTTTTATTAAATAGCTTTTATGTATTTTTTCTTCTTTTTGTAATGAAAAAATTAAATAAATAAATAGGCCAATTCAGATCTTACTAAAAAGGGTACAACTCAGTATGTGAGTAACACTGAGCAGTGAGCACATAGTGGCATACATGTGAAAGCTTTCACATGGGGCTAAAATCCTGATAGTTCACACAAAATTCAGGTTTGTGTGGAAGACTTTGCAGATGTAGCACTGGACATGAAGTCCAGACAACTCTGCTGTTCTCATGGAGACTAGTTTTTTCTGACATTGCCAGCATGATTTTACAGAGGAGATCTCTGACTCATATCGTAAGTTACACATTTCTTCATAACACCTAGACAGAGTTCCTGTTTTTGCCCTTTTAGAAATGTGATGGAATGAAGCATATATAGACCTCGCTCACATATAACATTAAACCATAACGTGGTTTATTTGAGCTTAGCAAAATATGTGAACCAATACTTATGGCTTAGTTTTATGTGCAAACCAGGCCACCAAAGCATAGTCAACAAACCATGGTTAAAGAAACTATGACTCATTATCAAATGTGAACCTATACAGTTTTCTAGATTTTTTTATGCTATTCTTCTGTTATAATGATGATGAACATTAATGAGCATGTTTAAGATAATATTGGTTCACAGATGTATTCTGATGTTTTTCCATCATTCTAAGTTTATAACAGACATCTTTAGAAATTTGCTTTATCTATTTATTGATTTGCATAGCTTGATTATAAATCATATATACAGCTGAAACAAATCCTGCAGCAAAGATGAAAAATTATATCCAGCATAGCTTGTAAAAACAAACTAAAATATGCTATTTTCTTTTTTTTTTAATGTTAATAATAACTTTCCATGTCTGATGTTTTATACATTACATTGCTATTATATATTTATACATTGCTATGATTGCAGGGCCTAATAGCATCAGGTGTGCATACATATGGAAATAGACCTTAACAGATTTCACAGATATTTAAAGCCCATCCTCACCCATGCTGGCCCACCACTTACTACAACTTTACCAGAATGGTGTAATCCTGTAGCTAGGTTGCTGACTAGCCCTAGAGCCTATGGGGTAAGTATGCAATTTCACATGTACAATGTTTCAATATTTTTGACAGGATGTATTATACAGCTTTCATTATACCTCAATCTGATACTCAAAGTTTTGTGATTCAATTAACATAATATGGGATCTTTCCTCCATCATTTCCCCAGACTAAAAGATCTAGTTCTGTTTCTGTTTTTTTCTGGTCACTTCACATAACAAAACTTATGTTTCCAATCTGAATTGAATAGATTTGAGCATATTTAGATTGGTAATATACTAAAACACATACAAAGTAACTCTGTTCCATTATTGTACCATTAAAGTCTTCTTAAAATTAAGCTCACCTCTGTTATGGTGACTTTAGAAGTGCTCTTTTGAACTCTTTAGATTCTTTCAGAAAAACACTAAAGCCATTTTAAAAATAACTTGAGAAACAGCTAACACCCATGGAGATGAATAGCTGCTCAGTGTAGTAGAAAAGCTTGCAACCAGCAGACCTCATTCCCATCAGCAATTTTTAGAGTTGTTTTTAAGCATGGGTTAAGTGTTCTTCTGAAAGACAAGGGCAGCAGGAGAATCTAGTGTGACTACTCTTTACCCACCAAGCCTTAAACAATACCTGATTTGTGGGATGAGTTTGGAATCTTGCAAAGTAGGACCATCCTGCTTTACTGGGCAACCTGGGCAACTTTGTAGGTCATCAGATGGAGAGGGCTGCCCATTGAAATAGGGTCTCTATCCTAATTTATGGAATCTTCTGTCTGTCTGTCACCCTGTGAATCAGTGCAGCTTCAACAACTGATCTATCTGGTGGAAGAAAACTGCCCAGTAAAGAAGGAGAGCTTCTCCTACTTTATTGATGAGCCCCTCTCATCTACAGAGCAGCTTTCTTGGTACCAGGTTTTGACAGATGGCTAAATCTATTGGTTTAGCCATCTGCCAAAACTCATCTCATCCCCATTACCATCCCCATCTTTGTTAAACAGAGAAATTTGTGGATTCACCAATATCTTTCCTCAAGTTATTCTGCATTAAATCTATAAGGGCAGCACCTCCTGCCAGTTGCATTACTGATACAGAATAGGCCTTGACCATTGAAGCAGCAAAATTTATGCTGGAATACTTTTTTGCTGGCTCAGGGACTGCTGGGTTGCACTTTAATGCAGCCATGAAGAAAATCCCCAAGACTAATACATGCAGGAATTTAAAATACTTCTGCTTGGTGTAAGAAGTTGAAAACGTGTGTAGAACCAGTTATGATGACAGCTAAGTCTGATTACCATTTTTTTCAGGCATTCTACTTTAGTCCATAAGCCAGGAAACTTCACACTCTTACTAGTTTGGATCAACCATAAACAAATTATGCCTTGGACTCAGGACTTAATCTATATTCCAGTGAGACATATACTGTATATACCAGTGTATATAGAGAGTTCCTGGATTTACAACCTTCCCAATTTACTTCAGTAGGAATGGCAGCTTGATTTGTACATCTCTCCAACCGTTGGAGGTTCAGCATTGTGAAATGATTACTTAGATCACTTGTATGCATGGGTCCCCCTTCTATGAATCTGTTTCAAGAATGAGCAACATTTTTCAGTCAACAGCCATATTGTCCCCAGAGTAATCTCTAAGGGGCACATGTTGAATGGGCTGATGTAAACAATGGGGTGGCCAAAGTCAAACTAAATGGAGACACACTTTGTCACACTGACTCTTCTTTCTGTCCCTCTATCTCTCCATCTATCTTTATCTGATATTATTTCTCTAGCTTCCTCTTTTTCAAGCAACACATTATGTGGAAGGGACATAAAGTTCTTAGTAATCTTGCAGGGAGCTTTTCAAATTAGACTCAGAGATGGAAGTTGCACATCTCTGATCTATATAGACAGACACATGTGCGCTTTGCTTCCACAGGGACAAGAAGGTCCTGAGTTCAGGAGACAATTTTTATATTTTGAGTAACTTTATATGAAGTAAATTTTAATTACTTTTTAAATATTAAAATTCTGTGTGATGTTCTAAACTTAAGAAATAGGGATATCTATTTAATATATAGAATTGTCTCATATTTGTGCCATTGGTGAGCAAATGTTTTTTATTTCCCTATTCTTTATGACAAAAATGCCTAGGAGCAACTGAAGGATGAAGATGGGGACTTTATTGTCAATAATGATGAACTGACCCTGAATTATGATGCTTCGGACGTCTTTCCTGTGCCAGCACAGAACAGAACAGATACACCCCATCCTGCTGGCAAAGAAAACATCTATGATGGAGACCTTGGTTTAGGAGGATATGAACTCCACTCTGAATCTGCTCCAGGTCAATCCAACTTTGCTTCCTCAGCCTGATGTCCATTGGAAAAAATATGTACTACAAATATCAGAAGCAGGAGAGAAGCCACATTTATTTTGCAGAATTAGCAAGAAGCTCAAAAATGTATTAAGGACATAAACAGAAAAGAAGCAAAACCTTGCTGAATCTCTCCCTGGAGCTGGGAAGTGTGAGAATTTATTATAATTCATACACATTATATAGCTACACTTAATTTTTCTGATAGTGGCCATTTTTAACAATGAAATCAAAGACATCATCTGTCTATTATTGGGACACTGCATAAGTGCTTGTAGGCTGTGATCGTGCTTCCTTATTTGCATATGCACAAAGTATTTTGAATGTTTTTTCTAATTAATTCAAAAGGAAGGAGAATGGGAATTTAGTGAACTAGTACATGCTTCCAAGATCACAGATATGTTAGTACTGTTTCTCTCTTTTCTCATGTAGGGCCTTTTGCAATAAGATGGACACTTCTGTGTTACAAGCCATGATTTGCCTCCTTCCAGCAAGCTGCAAATTAGTTTTTTCACCTACTGTATGGTAGTCTGGCAGCAAGTGGTCCACCAAAACTGGACACTGATATATGAGCTGCTGAAGCCTAAACAGATCAATAACAGGGACTTTAATTTTACTGTGCTCAAGCATGACTGTCCATGTAAATAGCAATTATGCTCCCTTACCCAATCCATTTGCTGCCACACCTATGCAACAGATTCATAACACAAATTCTGTATGCTGGCTTTCCTCAGATTTCCTGTGCTTGCACCTAGAATCTGGCAGGACAGAGAACATGAGTATCACATACTCCAAAATAATGTCTGCTATATCTCTTATACATTTTCTACACAGTAAGAAATATGAGAGAGAGAGAGAGAACTACTCTATAGGTTGCATGGGGGGAAATATTGGCTGATTCATCCATTATGAACCCACTGACTCACATACAGTATCAGGAAGGTTGGTGACAGTCTTTTTTTTTCCCCCCTGAAGGCAGTGCTCTGTGTCTTTATGAATTAGAGACTGACCTCTTGAAGAGGTCCATTACAGACAGGACCTCCTGATTGTACTTGCAACTCCTTTCAAGTCACAAATGAAACTGCCTTATAGTGAGCCCATTAGTCCATCTATCTAGCCCAGCTTCTACTTTAACTGCCAGGGGCTCTCCAACATTTTAGTCCTGCCTAGAAATTGACTGAAGGTGAAATCATTTGCATGTAATGTATATTTTCTTCCTGAGTTACAGCCCTCTGCAGCCATCCCCGTACACCACCATATTTCCATCTTCATGCTCAGTATTGTGTTGCACTGAGCATGTCTTCTGGTTTATTTAGCCATCCTCATTCAGTCTGATGGGAAAGAAATTACTTTTCAAAAGTTTGCAGTTCCAGTAAATGCTCATGGGTGGGTGAGGTGGGATTCTTGCATGCATTTCAGCAGTGCCGTGGCTGAAATGGGGGTGTGAGAGATTCTTACTTTTCATTACATAATTATCTTTCCAGCAGGGTTTTTCCCATGTTAGAAAGCATGGGCATCCAGGAGGCTGCAGAACGATAGAAAGAAGTCTAGCAGAAAGCGACACTATCCACCTCGTCGTAACAATAAATTGAGCTCAAAACACCTGCCTGAAGAATTCTAACCCACCCTTAGAATGAGGTGGAAAAACAGACATCACCTTGACAGAAAAAGAAATCTTTCTGAATGTTGACAAACCAATTTTGGCACAGTATTAACTCGGTATCTGTTGGGATGGGAAATGGCTGCAGAATTGCAGAAGCTCTGTAGAAAGATTTAGGAGGAACTGCTGGTCAGGGAAGAAAACCAACCAGTGCTGTCAAGAGTTCCCTTTTTTGAATCCTGTGAACACGTTGCTATCCAAGATCCAATTACTATTTCTATGCTCCTACTTTAAAAAAAAAAAAAAAAGAACATAACAGTAATGCATAGGTTCAAGTATTGCTTTGTTGTATTATTTTGGCTCATACAGCATATTTATTCAAGTTATCCAAAACTCATGTTTGACATAGAGTTATTTGACAAAACCAGAAGCCAGGTATATGTAGAAAATTGAGAAATTCCAAGAATCCATGTCAGTGATGGCCTTCATCCTTCAAATGTCAAAATGTAAGATTTTTGGTCATATACATGCCTTTAACAAGATGAGGACATTTGCTTCTTTGCAACTGTATTCTGAATACTTTAATGTGAAATATTTTCAGACCAAATGATGTGAATAGAACTAACCTCGTATACTGGATCATGTGCCTCAAATCATTGCTGATTAATAACAATTTCTCATAAACAAATTATATTACCTCTGAGAAATTGTTTCTCCTTTTATTCAGCATCAGCATATGATTCTTCAGCACTTACACACCAACTGACATGAAGTATTCGACATTCACAAATTGAAAACTGCAAATACATGCCAAAGAGGTGTGTATTTACATATCCATCTCCATGGTAACCTCCTTGACCACTGCCACATAACTAGAAGGTAGAGAAAGCAATCTTATAGCAAACAGGGCTTAAAATCTCTTAAGATTGTACAGTTTAACAGTGCATCTGTACCCTAGCATAGAGTATGATTTCCCATGTCTAGCTTCTGGGTAAATTGCCTATGTATTGCATGAAGCAGTTGGAATGCAGTTGAAATTAATGACTACAACACATAAGACTCCCTCCCCAAAATAGTCTCTAGCCCCATGTTTATTAGCCTTTGCAACTTTAATGTGCATGGACTTCAACTCCCAACAAGCTGGCTGGGGAATTCTGGGAGTTAAAGTTCATACATCTTAAAGTTACTAAGGTTCAGAAACACTGCTCTAGCTAATATTTAATAATGACACTATTTACCCTATGCCAAGAAATGACAACTGAAATATGTGAACTGAAGGATAAACTCTGTAGTTGCATCTTTTCATCTGTCTGGCCTTGTCTTTATTCAACTTGCCTGCTGACGGTTAAAATAGAAAAGACATGAATTCAAGCACAAACCCAGCATCCTCAGTTACTATCAGCCTGACCAGGTAGACCAGACAGGAAACATGGCCAGATGAGCTAATTCTACTTTATTGTAAGTCTACATTAATAGAAACTCGCAAGTCTGAAAGTACAATTCTCCCCGTCTCCTTTACACCCTGAAAAATTAGGGAGGGTTTCTTCTGAGCCTCTTGCCCTGTCCACTATCCAGCTGCAGGCTATTCTGTCTTATCTGACCGTTCCCTAGGCAGCACCTCTGGACCCGGTATCCCAAGGTCTTTCCCACATATGATTACAATTATCAAGCTCGTCTATAGATTTTCACATTTTGATGGTAGAATTTGAAGGGAAGTTGCAAATTCAGTTCCAAAGTTCATTAGAGACAAGCTCACACTCTGGGATATTTATAGGGTGGAGCTTGCAAGAAAGTCCTTATCCTATCCTATGTTTGACCCTCACATTGCATGATGCATTCTACAAAGTTTTCTCATCTCAGGAATGCAGCATGAAGTTCCTTATTAAGCAGCTACAAAAAAGTTATTGTTGCGTAAGCTTAGGAAGTTTACAGAACAAACATTCATAACTTTAGAAATAATCCATAGTACTAAATGCCAAGCCTTCTCAGTGAAACTGTGAATGATTGTAAAATGTAAGGAGTTTTGGTTCCATCATAGATGAAATGGCAACAAAAACTTAATGTAACCAAGTTTTAATCTTGCTTTTTCAAGTCTAATCAATTGCCAGTTGAATGCGATAGTGCAGCAGCTGTATTAATCATAAATTGAAAACAGGAATCCTAAGATCAAAAACTGACATGTGTTTTTATTTAATTTTCTTTCAAAAGTATGAATCAAGCTGTTTCAAAGGAGCTTAGTTCCCACAATGAAAAATATATTTTCACTTTTCTGATAATTAATCCTAATGAAAAGGTGTTATCCATTTTTACCACTTCCTGGGCTGTACTTAGCTGCTGTGGAAGAGCTAGCAAGAGAGGAAATGAAGCGCTTTACAGGTCAGAATGCTTATGGAAGTTGCCACAAGAATAAGAAGAGGCTGCTTGTTGAGTGCCTCAAGAAAGGAAGCAACTAGAATGTTCATAAGACCTAAGAAATAGATGAGCAGATGAACTACCTTACCCCAAAACTGCAGGTCCATAAAGAATCCCTTTAAAATGTACAATTAAACGTTCAAACTTATATTGAGATACAACCCTTATACTGAGATATAACAATTAACAATGATTGGATTGTGTTACATAGGCTCGACAAATGTTGTGCAAATGACATTGTGTTAGATACATTTAATAGATAACTCCTAACCAAAAGAGAATTATATTAGGCAGAAGTGTTCTGAATTTTGTTAACTTCGATGCAATTAAGTGAACAGAATGAAACCTGTAGCTCCTCTTGCCTAGGATTTTCTATTGTCATCTCAAATAAATTTTGCATAGCTCCTCGTTGGGCAGATCAATTTTTAACAAGAACAGGAAGCACAAACTCATTTTCCATTCTAACTCCCACTCCACTACTTGCCTTCCCTCTTCTCAGCCATAATGACCCTGAAATAACATTGAGGGTCATTATTTGGAGGGAGAGGGGGGGATCTTAATATCAGCCTAGATCAATCTGCTGTAGGATAAAGGACTCGTCACTGAAAGTTCTGCATTGTAATCTATCACACTGGTCCAGCACAAGTTGGTAGATAGATGTTTTTCAATTGTGCAGTCTAGGGCTGAGAGAGAGTGACTGGATCAAAGTCACCCAGCCAGTTTCCATCCCCAGGGAAAGAGCATTTCCTGCGTCTTCCACTCCTAGTCCAGCATCTTAACCACTATACCACACTGGCTTTTCATTTTCTCTAACAGTTTAAATATACTCATACATTTACTAATGTTACTAGAGTTTTTTGTTGTTGTTTTGTTGTTTAGTCGTTAAGTCATGTCCGACTCTTCGTGACCCCATGAACCATATTGCGCCAGGCCTTCCTGTCTTGTTTTGTTGTTTAGTCGTTAAGTCGTGTCCGACTCTTCGTGATCCCATGAACCATATTGCGCCAGGCCTTCCTGTCTTGTTTTGTTGTTTAGTCGTTAAGTCGTGTCCGACTCTTCGTGATCCCATGAACCATATTGCGCCAGGCCTTCCTGTCTTGTTTTGTTGTTTAGTCGTTAAGTCGTGTCCGACTCTTCGTGATCCCATGAACCATATTGCGCCAGGCCTTCCTGTCTTGTTTTGTTGTTTAGTCGTTAAGTCGTGTCCGACTCTTCGTGATCCCATGAACCATATTGCGCCAGGCCTTCCTGTCTTGTTTTGTTGTTTAGTCGTTAAGTCGTGTCCGACTCTTCGTGATCCCATGAACCATATTGCGCCAGGCCTTCCTGTCTTGTTTTGTTGTTTAGTCGTTAAGTCGTGTCCGACTCTTCGTGATCCCATGAACCATATTGCGCCAGGCCTTCCTGTCTTTCAAGCCAGCTTTCGCACTCTCCTCTTTCACCCTCATCAAGAGGCTCTTTAGTTCTTCTTCACTTTCTGCCATTAAGAGTTTTTTGTACAAAATGTCAATTAACAGCTCACATACAGAATTTCCTTTCAACTAACTTAAATACCTTGTTTAGGATCATTATATGGCATTCATTATCCTTGCTTGATTAAATTAACCTGTTGTCTAATACTAGATATGCAACAATAAGGTTCTGTACACTTCAAAAATGGTTAGGAAATGGTGTTCTGAATCTCGCTCAAGCACAGCAAATCTGCTATTCAGGAAAAGCCTGATATTTTTCAGGCTACCATACAAGTCTGAAAAAAAGGTGACACTCCTCTAAGAGTTGAATTAACTTTAATGAGTGGATTCCTTAAAGGTGCAACTTCTTTTTTTAAGTTTGGGTGGAAGCCTGAAAAATGTCAGACTTTTTAAATGAACAGCAGAGAAGTGCTGCATTAGTTCAAGATCCAAGTACTTTTTCAAATTAGTTTTGAAGCATATTTGACAATGCTTCACTGTTATTACAACCAGCTATGTGAATTCTACAGATAATTACCAGAAGGGCTAATAATGTCCCAATATCTTGGGAAGAAAAGATGCTAACTATATAGCTAAAGCATGACCAGATTTACCCCCATAGTCATAGATTTTCATATAATTATTGCTAAAACTATGTAGAGTAGGATTACAACAACATGAAGGAGTTCTTACTATTGTTAAAGAAAACTTAACATTCATGGTATATGGGACATCAGTGACAGATAGAGCAGAAGAATCACTCTATCGAGGTATCTTGAGGAAATATTTATAAGTATACGTTAGCATTAGATGTATACAGGAAAATCCTACCTTGCACAGGATAGGATAGTTGGACTATTGTCTGCTCTGACCTTTTTTAGACAGTGGGAATCTTTCCATCATATGCCATCAGATCATTTTCAACACAAGATATGAAATTACTCTAAGATCTTCTCTATACTACCACTGTCTTATGACACTTCACAAAGCATGAGGAAAATCTATGTTCAAAGAGCAGTTGTACACATGAACTACAATAGAAATGTCTGGGTTTTTTTAATCGGTGCTGGGTGGCAGGGAGGATGGTATACCAGCAGCAATCTCAATTGTTCCCTTAAGCACATCTTCAACCAGAGCACCTCACATTCAGTTATCTGTGGAACAGAACCTCTGAAAGGCTGTAACAAATCATAGATAATAGCAGCCACTCTTCTTTGTTTTTCCCTACCAT